ACTATGATTTTTTTTTTTTTTTGTCAATCACATTACTATGATTAAAATGCATAGAATACATGAAAGAAAAAGAGACTAGAAAAGGAAAATGTAAACAATCATCCCTCGGTTGGACATCTGAAGCCTAAAGTTCCAGGAAGAACCACATAACATATCTGATGCAACAAAGAAAGAGAATTACCTTGAAAAACGAAGTGAAAAACAGGGCCAAGTTCTGGATAAAAGCCTAGAGGGTAAAGAAGATGTACAGACATTATCTCGAAAGGTTACAAAGAAAGAATGGCATGGCCGGAACGTAATGCACAGAAAAAACATGCCTGATCTTCACTAGTTCCAGTTGAATATGCCGCAGGGATATCTGTATCCAAAGGAAGGATTGCCTGCAGACATAAACAAGTATGGGGATAAATCAAGAAGCCAAAGTAACATGAAATTCGGATACCGTAAAGAACGGATAAACGACCAGATAGATTACATTAACAAAATAAAAGTGAAACTCATATAGTAGAAACATCAATGAACCAAGACCAAGAAAACAAATAGAAGTAACAAAACAAAGATAAACAGCACTACCTGCAACATCGTGATGAATTCGCTGTACATGTTGACATATCGCATGTTGTATAAGTCCCCAGGATTACGTGCTGCAACCTGCCGGAAAAAGATAAGTCATTAGATAATGACAGTGAAATAGCGACAGCAGGAAAATCTGAACTACAAACCGGCATACCTCTGACAGACATTGAAGAGCGAGATTCTTATGTGCCTCCACAGAGAAGTGCTGAAGGAGGGTCTCCAGCTGCGCATAACCAGATCAGTAATGGGGATATCGTAATTAAGAGGCTTGTTAACCGCTCTTATCCAGAATATATTACCAAGGGGGGGTCAAAAAAATGGGGAGACGGAATCCAAGAAAGATAGGCATGCACTGCAGAGAGTGTTGCTCATATAAGCTCTGGTTTTTGGGAAGTTGAGAGAACATTTACGCATGATTCGTGAATGAGTTGAGACTCGCTGCGCATAAGAAAGCAGAACAAATTAGTTTTAAGTATATATGGATATAGCAAGAGTTCCAAATAGCGGCAAGATAATTGAACATAGTTCGTTCTTGCTCAGCTGAAAAGGTAAACTTCCTGAAAAGTCTAACTTGCCTATTTAGAAACTCTTTCAGCTGTTTTATCTTTTGCTGAGTCATTTCTCCTCTTGAGAAGTCAAAAACCTCTTCACTTAGAAGCTAAAGAAAAGAAGAATTGTTATTCAAGTAAATCACAAACTTAATGCAAAGGCATTTAGACAATACTTACTTTCAAAATAACCATGCAATTCTCACAGATAGTTTCGCTAGTTTTAGCAGCCTCAACAAGATCAGGAATAAAAAATATCCACTTAGCAGGCCACACTTGTTTCACAATCTGTACACGCATCGCAACATATGTTATTACCAAAGAAAAAACAAACTTCAGGGAAAACATCCAAAAGTGGATAGATAGTAAACGCACAAGAAGGACTCAAATGCAAATAAGCAGATATCTCTATGATTAGCAGGAAACCCCGAAGATACCTGAACCAGGACGACATTTAACTTATTGACATAGAGGCTTTCCGATCTGAAAGACGCTTCATCCGTAGAGAGCTACACAGTAAATTCATAATAATAAAAAAAATTGGTTAATCTAGCTAACCAAAAGAACCTGATGGCTGTCAAATACATACCTTGACAATGACTTCAGATATGTAGTTTTCCATTCCATCACGTTGTTCAACAGATAATGCATTCCACCTATATTTTATAACATCTTCTAGCACCTGAAAGTGGAATCCATAAGAAGGCGACTCGAAACATATAATGTAGAAATCAATAGATAAAAGTACAAAAAATAAGAACAGTGAAACCTACAAGAAGAGCAAAAAATTTGGTATGAATACTCCTGGTGCTCTGTAGAATGTGAACCACTTGAAGCCAAGTATCAGGATTAGCTTTCAAATCCCGCAATATACTATCCGCAGCAGCTCTCTGCATTCTCATGGAAATGACTAACTCGAATCGAGACAAGCGACGCATTTAACAAAACAGCATAAATGGTGGAATTACTCGTTGATCGTTTGAATTCTCAGAGAAGACATAAACAATCGACTTACTTCTTCCTTAGACGACTCGGTACAGTAAAGGAAATCAACAGTAGCATCGAGTGCAGCGACGTCAATCGGCTGAGTAGAGTCTCGTAGCTTCTCAACGGCCATGGCGAAGGAGAAGATTGAGCAAATTCCAGTAGAATCGAAAGAAGAGAATCCCGTGATAAATTTCGTGAGAGAAGGGAAAATCCCGTGAGAGAAGGGAAAACAATTTTTTTGAGGGAAAAATTAAGAAAATAGACCCCCAAAAAAACATTAAATTAAGGGTTAATTAGTTAAATAAAACATATAAATTAATAAAATAATATATCGTAATTTGTTAATTTAGTAACTAGTAAAA